GGGTTCAATCCCCAGTCAGGGTGCATGTGGGAGGCAACGTTTAACATTTCTCTCTCACACACTGATGTTTCTCTCTCTCTCTCCCTTACTCTCCCTAAAATCAATTTTTTAAAATGAGTGAGATAAAGTTAGGATATATGCCAGTAAAAACATTTCTCTTTCTCTCTCTCTCATAAACGTAGTTGTAATTATCTTGTTTAACAGTACATAACAATAAATTAATCTGTTCATTTACTAATATTTACTCAGAAACCTGGTAAAAATGAGTGTCTTGGCTATAGAAGAAAAATATAATGAAAATAAAATTTCAAACCTAAAATATGTTGAAGAATTAAAAGACCAGAGAGCAGCCATAACTGGTTTGGCTCAGTGGATAGAGCATCGGCCTGCAGACTGAAAGGTCCCAGGTTCGATTCCGGTCAAGGGCATGTACCTTGGTTGCAGGCACATCCCCAGTGGGGGGTGTGCAGAAGGCAGCTGGTCGATGTTTCTCTCTCATCGATGTTTCTGACTCTCTATCCCTCTTCCTTCCTCTCTGTAAAAAATCAATAAAATATATTTAAAAAAAAAAAAAAAGACCAGAGAGCAGATGGTGCCCTAAGGGGAAGCATGGGGAGACCAGTAAAGTCACAAGTGAACCATTGGGCCTGGTGTTAGGAGGTTCTAAGCAATCCTGGTGTTAAAAACTTTATAGATGCCAGAACCGGTTTGGCTCAGTGGATAGAGCGTTGGCCTGTGGATTCAAGGGTCCCAGGTTCGATTCCGGTCAAGGGCATGCACCTTGGTTGCGGGCACATCCCCAGTGGGGGGCGTGCAGGAAGCGGCTGATCGGTGTTTCTCTCTCATCGATGTTTCTAACTCTCTATCCCTCTCCCTTCCTCTCTGTAAAAAATCAATAAAATATATTTTTTAAAAAAACTTTATAGATAGATTTTTGAATAACATTTTGCATTGTATAAGATTGGTCTTCTAAATTAGAGATGATGAAAGAGTAAAGAAAATATGCTACCACTATTATTTTCAAGTTGTTAACAAAATAGGCATAATGTCTTGACTTTCTTTTGCCAAGTTACCTGTTATTGTAGTAAACTCTCTAGCATTCCATAAGGCTAGCAATGCAAATGCATTCTTGCTGCTGAGTGAACAACACACTTCTCTGCACCCAAGAAATGAATGCTTGTGTCTCCCCAAATTCGTATGTTGAAATCCTAACCTCCAATGTGATGGTATTAGAAGATGGGGCATTTGAGAGGTGAATAGGTCATGAGAGTAGAGCTCTCATGAGTGGGATTAGTGCCCTGTTAAAAGAGGGTGCTCACCCCTTCCACTGTGTGAGGACACAGCTAGAAGATAGTTGTCTATGAACTGGGAAGCAGGTCCTTACTAGACACCGAAACTGCCTGCGGCATAATCTTGGACTTCCCAGCCTCCAAACATTTCTGTTGTTTGTAAGCTACCTAGGCTATGGCATTATATTATAGCAACCCAAACTGACTGAAACAATCCTAAACAAGGAGTTGATAAACATTGTTTATGAAAGGCCAGAGAGTAAATATTTTAGGTTTTGTAGGCCACTACTTACCTCTAGGTTGTAGCACAATAATAATCACAAGTGATATATGAAAGAATGAGCATGGCAATATTCCAATAAATTTTTATTTATAAATAGTGAAATTTTAAAAAAATTCATCTGTCACAAATATCATTCTTCTTTTGCTATTTTTTCAACCATTTGAAAATATTTTTTAAACCATTCTTAGTTCATGGGCTGTACTAAAGCAGATATCAGGCTAGCCCTGGCTGGTGTGCTACAGTGGTTAGAGTGTCGGCAAATGCCTTAAAGGGTCTTGGGTTCAATTCCCAGTCTAGGGCATGTACATACCTCCATTGCAAGTTTTTCCCGGGTCTCAATTGGGGTACATGAAGGAGGCAACCAATCCATGAGTCTCACAGAGAGTTTCTCTCTCTCTCTCCTCTTTCTCTCTCTCTACCTCTCCATCATCTCTCCCTCTTTCCACTCTTTCTAAAAATCAATGGGAAAAAATATTCTCAGGTGAGGATTAACAAAAATAAAATAAAATAAAATAAAATACAACAGGCATCAGGCTAGATTTGGCCCACAGTACACAATTTGCCAATGTCTTCATAACAACAGATCTTGAGAATGATAAAGCTGGTGAGTTATGTTTAGTGGAAGCCATTCACCTTATATCTAAAAATAGAAAATCAGTTCTATGGTAATGCATATAGATTGTTGAACTGGCTCCACTGGTTCAGATATTGCCAATATTTAAGTCACAAATCAAAAGTGGATTCATTCATTCATTCATTCATTTATTCAACAAATATTTATTGAGTACCCACTAGGTACCAGACACTGAACAACGTACTAGGATAAAAGAGCAAACATACAAATTCATTCCTAAAATATTCTTTTAGAATTACCTCATAACATTATTTTAATCTGTTTGGGATTTGGAATTGTTTTAAATTAAACTTTTTCATTTATAGAAATGTTTGTCTTTTGTTTGTATTCATCAAACCCATAACCTGAAATCTATAGTCAATGATTAACAAGAGGAAACGGTGTCAGCCCAAGTCAAAGGTATTATTGACTTAGTGAAACAAAGAAGAGCTTTTAACATGCATGACAATAAAACTTTATATTCAAATGAGATGAGAAGCCAGTACATGTTTTATCATGTGCATCAGGGATGCTTTAATTAGAGATAACGATAGTTTCAGCTGGGGAAGGGATGCTTTATATTATCTTTCCATCTCTAATAGCATGAAATTAATTTTTAGATACAGTGATTAAGTGTAAGTTTCCACCCTTCAGGAAAATAATGGTCACAATGCACTAATCTTTTGCAAATCAGAAACTGGGTCATTGCAGGGACAATCTGATTATCAAAGTGTATTTATTGGCTGCCTCTTAATTACCTAAGAAAATGCATCTGTTCTTTCTATGAGTGTGTTTAAATATGTTTGTAAGCTTTGGTATGGCTTGACATTCATCACAGCCTAATAGTGAGAAATTAGAAATAGCTTACATGTCCATTGGGAAAGGAGTAAATAAATATATCAGGTACAGTCATACAATGAACTATTGTCATTACAGAAGGCCAACAGTCATAATTGAAAAAATATGTCTATAATATATTAAAGAGTTTCTTAAAAAGCAGGTTACAAAACAGCATTTATAGTTTGATCTCTTTTACATAAGGTCACATACCTTAGGATACTAACCAAAATTTCAAAAACGATTACATTTAGATGGCCATGTTAAAGAGTGATTTTTACTGTCTTCTTTTCATTTTCTCTATTGCTTGAACTTTTTACATTGGATACGTATTGGTATTTACATTATGTTTAATAAGTAAATAAACCATTTATTTTAATCTATAAAATTAAAACTCAACAAGGTTTTTATGATTGTGGGAAATGGGGGAACCTCTGTAATACTGTCAATAATAAATAATAAAACTATTTGTATGATTAATAAATCATATAATTTATAATCAATAAATGATAATTTTAGTAACAAAAACTGTAACAAGCACATGAAACTTCTCAGGTATGGCAAGGTTTTACTTATACAGTGTGGATTTATTATAACTATTGAAACTTACCCTTAAGGTGAACTTTTTGAGAATACCAATCCATTCTCACTATCCTGCTTCTGGCAAAGCTTAGAATAATACTGTGCTCCTTATCTTGCTCTACATGTCTACTGCTTTCTAGAAGCTCAGCATCCTGGCACTGGGATGTTTAAAGATAAAGTCCAGATCACTCATCCTACAAATGAAGGAACTGAGGCAGGGAGGTGACATGACCTGTCCAGTGTCCCACAGCTAAAGCTTGTCAACACAATCTCTTTTGCTTTCCCATCAATCATAAAAAGTTGTATGCATTAAATATGCACAGCTTTTTGTATGTCAATCATACCTCAATAAAGTGGTTTTAAAAAAAGGTATCTCCACCCAATCATAAAACTTCTATGGTTGCCCTGACTGGTGTGGCTCAGTTGGTTGGGTGTTGTCCTGTGCACCAAAAGGTTGTCGGTTTGATTCCCAGTCAAGGCACATGCCTGGGTTTTGGCCTTGATCCCCCTGTAGGAGATATGCAGGGGGCAGCCAATGGATATTTCCTTCTCACATTGATCTCTCTCTCTTTCTTTCTCTCTCTCCCCCTCTCTCTTCCTCTCTCTCTAAAAACCAATTTAAAACACAACAGCCCTAGCTGGTTTGGCTCAGTGGATAGAGCATCGGCCTGCAGACTGAAGGGTCCCAGGTTTGATTCCAGTCATGGGCACATACCCGGGTTGCGGTCTCAATCCCCAGTGAGGGGCATGCAGGAGGCAGCCCATCAATGATTCTCTCTCATCATTGATGTTTCTATCTCTCTCTCCCTCTCCTTTCCTCTCTGAAATCAATAAAAAAAAAAAAAAAAAACCACACACAACAAAAAAAACAAACAAAAATCTTCCATGGTCTCCTGGAACCCCCACATGAACACAAACTAAGTTCACACAGGAAAATGTTAGCATGCTGGCCTGTGTGTATTTACAGAGATGTGGGGTGTGCAAGGATGTAACGACAGGCAGTGGAAGATCCAGGCCCACATCTGCGGGGCTGTACCTGGCAAAAGTGAAGTGGTGTTTTGACAGGAGGGCACTTGAGAGGCAAGGAGATTTGGGAGAAAAAAAGTACTTGGGTGTTAACCAGATGCCTAGGAAACATTGAAAATGCTTATACTCTGCATCCAAAGAGGGTTTCAGATGTGGCATATGCAGCCTTCTATTACTTATGAGGTGACATTTGAAACTAAAGAAGTAGATACAATTCTGTAATGTATAGAGAGGGGAGAACTTAAAGGGCTTGAATGAAAAAAGAATTCAGTAAAAAGTAATAAAAAACACTAATAGCTATCATGTATTGAGAATCTACTATACCCTTTACATAAACTATTACACCAACCTTTCATCACAACCCACAAACCTCGGCTCTTCAGTTGATGCTGCACTAAATCCCTGACAAGATGGGTCAGGCGGTGAGAGGGCTCGGACATCACATCACAGGAGGCAGTGGAGGAGAAAATGCTGAAGGGAAGGTTTTTTTCTGTCAAGTGGTGCTCTGAAGTTTAGACGGATGAAGACTGTGAAAAGCCATTGGATATGGTGTTGAGGGCATTCTCAGGGTCCTTTTAGTTGTAGTCTCCCTCCTGCCACATTACCATGAAATCTGACCCTACTGGGCTAACTGAATTTAATTACTAGGACTGAACTGCGCCTCCAGTAAGTGTGCTGTTTTCTGGAAGTAAATGATTCATCTGTATGAGGTAAAGGAAATTTTCCAGGAAGACCAATTGCTATTTAGCAAATGCCTCCAGTTTTTCAGGGCAGTTGTAATCATTTACTGACACGTATTATCTCATTCTTTCATGAGGCCAATCTATAAAGTCTATAAACATGCTTTATAAACTGGTCCCTGTTTCTTCCCTCCCTCCCACTCCTGCCTTCTTGCCTAAAGCTATTTATTACAAAGTTGCCTGCAGAAAGGCACAGTTAAAGCAATCAACCACTGCCAAAGGGGGTGGCTCAGGCATGTGGCCCTGCAGTCAGACTAACTCTGAACTGCTTTTTGTCATACAGAAGTTCATAGCCATATGTTGTTGTAAACCTTTATCATTATTTGCCTTCAAGTGTTCTAGTCATCCCATTTTTCTGCTTTTCTCTTTTCTCTGAAGGATCTGGGTTTCTGATGACACTCATTCTACTAGACCAGGCTGAACAGTTATAACATCTTCCATATCCACGTACAGGTTAATGATTGCACATTTTCCCAAAGTGTACCCCACTGACACGATGTCCTAGACCAGCACTCTCCAACAGAAAGAGAATGCAAGCCATATATGCTATTTAAAACTTTCTAGTGGCCACATTAAAAATTTTTTAAAGAAACACGTAAAATAAATTCCTATAATATATTTTATCTAACCCAATATATCCAACATGCTATCATTTCAAAATTGAATCAATATTTTAAAATTATCAAAGGGATATTTTACACTTACTTGTACTAAAGTTTAAAAAATCCAGAATGTGTTTTATACCTACAGATTTCAGGCTAGTTACATCTTGTGTGCTCAAGTAGCCACATGTGGGTAGATGCCACTATATTGGACAGCACGGGTCTAGGTCCTGAATGAAGGTATTAAATGAGATCAGACTTTTAGCTGAGCCCTCTGTTAAGGTCCTTTCCTTCCTCATCTTTTCACCACCAACAACAACAACTCAATTTAGAATTGTAGTTCTTGCACAGGCTAATCTTTCCAACTAAGTAGGAACCATGTCTTAGACATTTCTGCAGTCTCCTTCTTACCTGTCACTCTCCCTTATCTCCCCTTCATTTCAGAAATGGGAATACCAGTGCCCAGAGAGGTTGGCAATTGACCCAAGGTCACACAGTGGATAGGCTCTAAATTCAGTCTTACTGGTGACCAGACCAGAGTTCTTCTCACTTCCTTAAGTTCTCAGTCATTTCTCTTCTCCCTATGTTTGCCTTAGGGCTCAGTTACTTCCTTTTCAATTCTCCAAGAAGAAAAAGCTTATCTTACCCTTCTTCTTGGACATTAAATTTACAACCCAAAACTATACCGATTCTCCAAGCACAACAGATGGATTTAGGGATTGCCTGGTGGTAGCTCAGACCTGGCAACTTTTCTTCTCAGTTCCTTAAACATAAAGCTAATAGACCCTCCACTTAGGAAAGGAGGAGAGGTTATTCACTAGCTGACTTTATGACTAAGAATTCTGCTACATACATTCCTCTAGTAAACTCAGAAGACTGAAAGGTTAGCTTCTAAAACAGTGGTTCTCAACCTTGGCTGCACATTAGAATCACCTGGGAATCTTTTTAAAATCCCGATTTCTGGGCCTCACCCTCCAGAAATTCTGTTCTTTGTTACTAATGTTGTGGCCCCACCCCATAACAAAGAAACAGAATTTTTGGAGGATGAGGCCCAGAAATCAGGATTTTAAAAAGATTCCCAGGTAATTATAATGTGCAGCCAAGGTTGAGAACCACTGTTCTAAAATGTTATTATAGTAGTTTCTTCAGGTGCCAACAATTTCTTCATTATTGTTGTTCATTTGTGTTTTGAGATTCTTTTTTTTTTATTTTTTTTATTAAATCTTTATTGTTCAGATTACATTTGTTCCTCTTTTTCCCCCCCATAACTCCCCTCCTCCCAGTTCCCCCCCCATCCCATTCCCCTTTCCCCGCCAAGAATAGTCAGTCCATTCCCTTTCTATGTCCCTGATTCATTATAATCACCAGTTCATTCTGTACATCAGATTATTTATTCACTTGATTCTTAGATTCACTTGTTGATAGATGCATGTTTGTTGTTCACAATTTGTATCTTTACCTTTTTCTTCTTCCTCTTCTTAAAGGATACCTTTCAGCATTTCGTATAATACTGGTTTAGTGGTGATGAACTCCTTTAGCTTTTCCTTATCTGTGAAGCTCTTTATCTGACCTTCAATTCTGAATGATAGCTTTGCTGGATAAAGTATTCTTGGTTGTAGGTTCTTGGTATTCAGCACTTTGAATATTTCTTGCCATTCCCTTCTGGCCTGCCAAGTTTCTGTTGAGAAATCAGCTGACAGTCGTATGGGTATTCCCTTGTAGGTAATTGAGTCTCTTTCTCTTGCTGCTTTTAAGATTCTCTCTTTGTCTTTTGCTCTTGGCATTTTAATTATGATGTGTCTTGGTGTGGTCCTCTTTGGATTCCTTTTGTTTGGGGTTCTCTGCGCTTCTTGGACCTGTAAGTCCATTTCTTTCACCAGGTGGGGGAAGTTTTCTGCCATTATTTCTTCAAATAGGTTTTCAATATCTTGCTGTCTCTCATCTTCTGGCACCCCAATTATTCTGATGTTTGTACGCTTGAAGCTGTCCCAGAGGCTCCTTACACTATCTTCGTATTTTCGGATTCTTTTTTCATTTTGCTTTTCCGGTTGGGTGTTTTTTGCTTCTTCGCATTTCAAATCTTTGGCTTGATTCTTGCGCTCCTCTGGTCTGCTATTGGGTGTCTGTATAATATTCTTTATTTCAGTCCGTGTATGCTTAATTTCTAGTTGGTTCTTTATCATAGCATCGAGGGTCTCATTAGTTTTCGTGACTCTCTCCTCAAGTTTATTGACAGCTTCTAGCACATTTTTGCAAGCCCTCAAAATTGCGATTTTTAGCTCTATATCCTCCATTTCTGTCATGTTTTTTTGTCTCCGCATTTTTTATGCTTTCTTGGTGCACCCCCTAGTGGTCTTTGTGCGCAGTCTTGTTCTAGTTGAGCCTTGATTGTTGTAGTTAATACTAGAGGGATTTGACCACCAGGCCGACTGGCTGTGTGAATCAGCTGTGTCTGCCGCGGAAAACTTCTGTCCTCTGGGGAGGTGCTAATCTAGCCTTTGCCTGAGGCTATCCGGCAAATGGCTCTGCGCAGGGCTTGGGCGGGGCGGGCTCAACAGGGCGGGCGGAGGGAGCCGTTATGGTGCCCTCAGTCCTGTTCCCAGAGGCTCTGCTTCTCAGAACCCCCGGAACCGCTGCAAACCTCGGAGGGAAAGCTGCCTTCCAACTGATGCCAGACACTCCCGCTTCTCCCGTTTGGGTCCGAGTCCCCAGCGATTCGCCCGTATCTGGAGCTCAGAGTCTGAGACTCCCCCCTGACCGAAAACGACAACCGCGCTCTCAGCCACCAGCCCGCTTTGCGCGCGCACCTCCGCACCTGAGTTTTTTCCACACTGCGCCTCCTCTGAGCCTCGGTGTGCTGTTATTTTTCCTTCTAGTTGAAGAGTCTCTCCTCAGCCAGCCTTCCTGTGGTTCTGGGTGATGTCCGTTCCGTCTTTTAGTTGTATTTTTGAAGTGGTTGTTTGCGGCAGCAGTCTCCGGTGTTTACCTATGCCGCCATCTTGCTCGGACCGGAAGCTTTAACTGCTTTTGAGATTCTTCTACAATGAACATATTTGTGCAAACAAAGAATACATATCAAAAATAAATGAATGTGCCTAGTAACTTTTATAGAGAAATAATAGTCTGATGAACCAGTCTTGGCTTAATTTTTACAGATTTACAAAGAGAAGGTTTTTGTTGTTATTGTTGTCATCATTTCAGGTAAGCACCTAAATATTTTCCAGGGGTAGAAATGGAGACACAATGCAGTCTGAGGCCCTACTGTATAATAATCACTCATCGGTATGGAATGACTTAACAGTAATTCAGGTTGAGCACCCACAGTATTCCACTTAGATTTCTATTAGTACAGAATATGACAACACTTGAGGACTTCAGCAATGCTAAGGGCTCCTTGATCTGTCCACCCAACCACCAAAACGAGAGAGAGAGAGAGAGAGAGAGAGAGAGAGAGAGAGAGAGAGAACACAAGATAAACTACAGTCAACTCCTCATTTGGCCAAAGAAATTAAGGGACACATTTTATGCATTTCTCAAAAATATTCTCTTGTCTTAGGTTACTTTAAAGCCTTTTCATTGATCATTTTCAACAGATAAACAAGTAAGGTTCCCACGCATATCAATCTGTCCTGAATGATTTGTACTGTAGCTTTCAACATACACTGTGGAGGTGGGGGAAAAAGAAAACCTTATATTTTCCTAAGACTTTTATTTGCACATTCCATGCCACAAGAAAACAAAGCCTGCATTTCTATAAGCAGATAGCAGTTATAATTTGTAGTATTTTGGTACAAATGCACTATTTGGTACAAAATGCACAGCTATTTAAAAATAGCTATGCTACTGTTTTAGTTTGACCAAATTCCATAACATTTTAGGTTCACTGATAGAGTTTACAAATATAAAGGGAATGAAGGAGTAAATGTTTTTGTAATTCAAGTTGAAAAGACCATGTTTATAGTTTTCTGGGTTTAGCTGTACATACTGTTTTATCTTAAGTTGGGACACAACCATTATTTGGAAAATGCAAAAAAAGATACCAAAAAAAAAACACCCTCACCACAATAGGATCAATACTTGGGTTCCGCAGTAAACTGGTATTTATAGAAGTAGATTTTGTTTTTTCTGTCTGGGGTTGGGGAGTGTGGGGGGCGGGGGATACTGAAGGATTTACAAATAACTCCGTCTACCTCCATTTTCACTTCAGAGAAAACATCAAGTCTCTTGATTTCAGAGCAGAGTTCTTGCCACCATGCCAGTGTTCTCCAATTTGTTAAGTGGGTGGAGCCCCTAGAAGTCACTGTTTTGAGGGGAAACCTATTAACATGATAATATATTTATGTCTTCCCTGGGAACCAAAACTTTTACTATCAGAAACTATGATGAGCCCTAGCTGGTTTGGCTCTGTGGAGAGAATCATTGATTGGCTGCCTCCTGCATGTCCCCTACTGGGGATCAAGCCCGCAACCCAGTCATGTGCCCTTGACTGGAATTAAACCTGAGACCCTTCAGACCACAGGCTGACGCTCTATCCACTGAGCCAAACCAGCTAGGGCTGTTTTCCTTTTTATTTTTTATTTTTTATTTTTTTTTAAATATATTTTATTGATTTTTCACAGAGAGGAAGGGAGAGAGATAGAGAGCTAGAAACATCGATGAGAGAGAAACATCGACCAGCTGCCTCCTGCACATCTCCTACTGGGGATGTGCCCGCAACCCAGGTACATGCCCTTGACCGGAATCGAACCTGGGACCTTTCAGTCCGCAAGCCGACGCTCTATCCACTGAGCCAAACCGGTTTCGGCTGTTTTCCTTTTTAAACTAACAAACTTTAAGGATATTTTTTGCTCAATTCTCCTGGACAAACATATTAATTACATAATTTGAAAACCAGTAATTTCTTTAAAAAATTAAGTGCCACATAAAATATTGTTTGCAAATAGAAAATAGTACCAAATCAATAGAGTGAATCTTTGAAAAGTTGTGATTTAGTATTCTACTTTTGGATTACTTTCCCTACATAATTGAACCTTTGCTTTTACATGGTTAGTACTCAATAAGAGATTGAACAGTAGGTTACCTTATCTTTTTTATCTATAAAAATAGCAACTTTAGATATTGAGCCTAACTATAGCTGCTCAGTGAATAAATGACAATGGTGAAAAGAACAGCTGAACGTGAAGGCCCAGGGTAGTGATCACAATGGAACCTTCAAGCAACACCTATATTATCAATTGTCTCAACTGAAAGTAAATACAACTTTGGGAACAAGCCATGGAGCCTCTGAAAACCCCAGAGTGTAAATTCCCAACTAACTTCCCTAATTTTCAAATCTATAAAGAAATAGATTTTCAAAGTCTCTACCAGAAGAGAGATGCTGAATTTAAGCCAAATAACTCATTGCAACAAAAAGAGTGTTGGTTAGATACATTTTCTTTCCTTTTCTACTGAGGAACAAACAAGAGCTAAGCTAAATTTGTAGTATTATAAATTTCTATTTAGCATGTGAACCAAATAATTTCTTAAAGAACAGATACATTTTCAAGGCAAGCTGTGAAGTCTCTCTCTCCCACAGCCCTTCAAAAGTGAGACAGAAGAGGCTTTGTGTGGCATAACGTGGGTCTAGTTCTGCTTTGAAGTTGGTGGAAGATTTAATTAGTGCTCTGAGGTTGCAGCTGTTGTGTGATATGGAAGTTCAAGGGCATCCATGCTGATTTTTCCCTCAGCAATCCAACATTTTTAAGTCAGAATGTGTGTCATTTTCACAAGCTTGAGCCAGACTCCATGTAACCATTTCCACTATTATCAATGCTCGTCATCAAAACAGGAAAGAACAGTGGAGACATGACCTCTCAGAGCGTTATGCAATTGGGCAGAGTAAAAAGTAAAGGAGGGTTTCTTGGGAAACTCAAAAGTGCTGGATTTTCTACATTTCTGGTATCTAAATACAGGTCTAGCAAGAAAAACTATGACGTGACCTCGTAAGATATTCTAGTCCTGGTTTATTGATATAACACTAGGTTGACCTCTACAATAATACTTATTAGAAATGTCATAATGATGATCATGGCTATAATAACTGTTTACGATGATAATTATAGGTTGAACCAATGCATCCTCCAGGTAAATAAATGATTCTGAAGCAGCATGACCCTCTCCACCAGCTGATACCATGTGCATTTATTTGTACATGTTCAATTGTTTAAGTGGTTTGGATACTTGGTTTTGAAAAGGCAATTTTAGAATGTAAAATTGTTTTTCTCCATTTAAAAAAAAATGTGTTTGAGAGAACCAAGTAGAGAGTTACCCACTAATTCATGTAGTAGGTATTTCTATAAGCATCTTCTGAGTGCCTGGTACAGGGCCTGGTCCAGGGACACAGAAATAGCAAAACAAACATGGTTGGATGACTTATTTATACCAACCAGCCCACACAGAAAACGTATTCATAAATATGACACATTACCTTTCAGGGAAATATACTTTCAAAAGTGACTTTCTGCCCCTGGTTTAGCAGAAGGTGCAGCTCTGTACACGTGCAAAGCTTCACAATCTGAGTATAAAGAAAATATACATATATTTTGGCCTTTGAGAGGCAAGTGTTATTATAATTTTAATGATAATAACTACTGTTTCCATAGCATCTTTATTGGGCCTGTGTTTAATATTAATTCTAATCCACAAAACAACCCTGAAAGTAGGTATTATTTCCATTTTACAGGTGGCTTATGTTGAGAGGCCCTTCCCAGTATAAAATCATGATATTCTAAACAATTTGCAGTTCCATAGCAATAGTGGCAGCCCAGTCAAGGAGGTGAAACAATATTTACTGAACATCTACTCTGTCCTTGCACTGTTCCTGGTCCTTTACATTGATCGTTTCATTGAAATCTCACAACAACTCTGCAGGATAGATAATAACATCCCCACATTGGCGATGCAGAAACAGACTCAGAAACGCCATGTAATGTGCCCCAAATCACACAGCCAGTGAATGGCCATCTGGCAGGATTACCAACCTGAAATACTTACTCAAATACTATCTCCTCTCTAAAATAAGCCCATCTACCACTAACATCCACTTCTCCAGGCCTTTGTTCAGGTTCTGCCCTCAGCAGAGAATGACCTACCCTGCCTAACCCCCACTGGGTCTTCAAGGTCAAGTGCAGATATGACTTCTTCAGTCCCAACCACCCCCAGGCAAAATTTGAAATCATAGAACATGTTTTTGCTACTAGTCTAGCACTTATCACACAGCATTGTAATTTGTTGGTATGTCTTTCTCTCCCATGGAAGCTAAGAAGACCTTGAAACAAAAATTGTTTCTTTTTCACTTTTGAGTTCTCAGCACATAATACACAGCTTGGCACTTAGGTTGACACTCTAGTTGGTGGCAGACCTGATACTCATGCCCACATGCTGTAAATTCAAAGGACCTCTAAAAAGTGACCAAACCAATCCTCCTGCATTTATTTGGGAGCCACGTTTTTGGTTTGTTTTTATTTGTCTGTTTGAAAGACCCTTAGAAGAGAGGATGCTACCATCTCTCTACCTTCTCTATTTGTGATTCCTTATAATAGGTCACGCTAGCCTCATTTGCTCATGTTTCTGCCCTCTGAGAAAATTCTGTCTCCTCATAATTCAGAAATTACAAAATGGAATTTTCACAAAATCTGCCTTAATTTTGCTGGTTTCCTGGTTAGCTAAGCTGTACATGACACACAATTTCTCTCTGAATTCTTGTCACAATGACAGGTTTTTTCCTTGTGAGAAAGGTGATGACCACAAGAGAATACATATACTGGATGGTGCCAGAAGAAAGGAGCAAACAGATAAAACTAGCCCTAGCCGGTTTGGCTCAGTGGATAGAGTGTTGGCCTGCAGACTAAAGGGTCCCGGATTTGATTCCGGTCTGGGTTGCGGGCTCGATCCCCAGTGGGGGGCATGCAGGAGGCAGCCAATAAATGATTCTCTCTCATCATTGATGTTTCTGTCTCTCTCTCCCTCTCCCTTCCTCTCTGAAATCAATAAAAGTATATTAAACCCCTGGCTGGTTCAGCTCAGTGGATAGAGCGTCAGCCTGCGGACTGAAGGGTCCCAGGTTCAATTCTGGTCAAGGGCACATGCCTGGGTTGCGGGCTCGATCCCCAATGGGGAGCATGTAGGAGGCAGCCAATCAATGATTCTCTCTCATCATTGATGTTTCTGTCTCTCTCTCCCTCTCCCTTCCTCTCTGAAATCAATAAAAATATATATTTTTAAAAAGTATATTAAAAAATAAAATAAACAATAAACAGTACATGGCATAGCCCTTCAAAGAGAACAAATGCATTTGCACTGATTTGTACCTTCAAATCAATTGCCAATGCTTTAAATATCTTTTTTTATCTTTACTGTTGAAAGTATTACATATTCCCTTTTTTTCTCCCATTGACCCCTTACAGCCTACCCCTGTCCCCCACCTCTGCCAATGCTTTATTTTTCTGCAAGGAGATAGGTAAATGTTTTGATTCCTCTTTAACAGACTAGTAAACTAAGATATAGAAAGACTAAATTATTTGGCCCAAAACTTATCCTAGAATTTGGAATTAAATCCAAAAGTTCTTACCTTCCAGCCTGCACTCAAACCAAAAGCCACATTTTCAAAAGGTAGATAGCAGCTATATGATTTTCTTCATCAAGGTAATCAGGTCATCATTTCAAATAACTCCTTTCTGCTTTAGAAATGATATTAATATATAATTGTCCTAAAAGCTTATGTGCAAAACAGGCTAATAAAAAAAACCTGGCCTTTTTGTTATTTTTTAAAAGTCTATACTGAATAGGGATATTCACAGATAATTGGCAGGGCTGTCTGGACAAAGAGTTACAGCTTTGTGGAATAAAAACATAGCCTGCATGTCCAAATTAGCTCAAGAAATTTCCCATTTCTGAGAGGACGAGCTGGCTGCCAACTCTTTAAGACATAAAAGCACACCCTCTTAAAACATGAATCATTACCTATCACATAAAACAAGGGCGCACGCGCACACACACACACACACACACACACACAGAAGCATCTTTAATAATTGCTCAAGGCTTTCAAAAATATCCCTTCACTGCACATTAAGATACATATTTTATCAACCAAGATCAGGTTGTCCTTTCCTCATCCACGCTGTCAGAAAGGATAAGCTATTTACCAACAGCCTTGCTACATGAACAGGCTCATGATGTGGTGTAAACAGGGGTGCCAAACAGACAGAGCAGATGACTCAGACTGATTCTAGAGTACACACTTGTAGGTTGAACTTAGTGCCTGCAGCTGGTTATTTGTCAACCTATTTTAAAAACAGATTGTTTGCCCTGGACTGGTATCTCCAATGGTTAGAGCATTGTCCTGTACACCAAAAGGTTGCCGGTTTGATTCCAATTAGGGCACATACCTAACTTATGGGTTCGATATCCACTCCAGACAAGAATGGGAGACAATTAGTTGATGTTTCTCTCTCACATCTTCTCTCTCTCCCTTCTCCTCACTCCTCTCCTCTCTCTCCCTAAAATCACTAAACATATCCTCCAGTGAGGAAAAACACATTGGTTGATCTTTATTCCTATAGCTAGTTATTTTCTAAATCCTATACCTGAAATGCAACCTCCTTAAAGAAATAGGCCTAATGCATGCTTTTAGCATAGGTGGACTAGGATGACCATTCTTTGGAAATGTGTATGGAAAGTTTGAACAAGGACAGGGTGAGCTGAAACACAACACAAAACCAGAAGCAAGGTGATCTGCCACAACTGAGAGTAGGCATTTGGGTGGTTCCCGTGCATGCCATAAATGAGAGCAGTGGGTATCCTTAGTCTTTTTATTGTCAACACTGAACCTTACTGAGACATTACAATCAGATGGATAATTTACATTTGAACGGAGACCAAAATAGTTCCTAAATCTACAAAGGCAGAAAAATCCAGACATCTCAATATGCTTCCCTAAAAAGTGAGTTTAAAGCCCACAATAAAATATAAAAAGAAAATTACTTTGATCTACAAGAATAATATATTGATTTGTTTATTAACTGCCTTGGGAAAACATTTCTCAGAACATTTAGTCATATTTATTTCTCTGTTAGCTAGAAAGTAAAAAAAAAGCTACTGAGCTGGAACAAGAACTTTTTCCCCTTTATAAAATTTTCAGATTTCATCATAAATGTTATAATAAATGTCCAAAAGTCACAGAGCTTAATCCATTGTATTTTTAGAAGTTAACAGGATAGAATCTCAACTTTCATCTGTATGTCCACTTAGGAAAAGTATCTATTTAGGCCCTCTGCCCATTTTTTAATTGGATTATTTGTCTTCCTTTTGTTAAGTGGTATGAGTTCCTTATATAGTTTGGATATTAACCTTTTATCACATGTATCATTGGCAAATATGTTCTCCGATACAGTGGGCTCTCTTTTCATTTTGTTGGTTTCTTTTGCTGTGCAGAAGCTTTTTTATTTTGATGTAGTCCCATTTATTTATTTTCTCATTTTTCTTGCCCTAGGAGATGTATTGATGAATATATTGCTATGAGAGATGTCTGAGATTTTGCTGCCTATGGTTTCTTCTAGGATTTTTATGGTTTCACAACTTAGATTTTGGTCTTTTATCCATTTTGAGTTTATTCTTGTGTATGGTGTAAGTTGGTGATCTAGTTTCATTTTTTTGCATGTATCTGTCCAATTTTCCAAACACCATAAATTGATGAAACTGTCTCTACTCCATTGTAGCTCTTGTATGGTTTTCCTTTTTACTATTTTAATTTTTAAAATATTTTTAATTTTACTGTAATCAAATTTATCAATCCTCACCTTTAAGGTTGGTGCTTCTTAATTTCAATATGCTTAAAAATAATTTCTTCACCTGGCCAGCATGGCTCAGTAGTTGAGCATTGACCTATGAACCAGGTCATGGTTCGATTCCTGGTCAGGGCACATGTCCATGTTGCAGGCTCGATCCTCAGTAGGGGGCATGCAGGAAGCAGCCCATCATGACTCTCTCTCATCACTGATGTTTCTATCTCTCTCCCTCTTCCTTCCTCTCTGAAAAAAAAAAATATATATTTCTTTTTAAATATATGTAAATTTTTAAAATAATTTCCTCATATTGAAATCATGAATCTAATTTCTTATTTTATCTTCTTACCTTTCATAGTTAAAAGGTCAACAAATTACCTAGAATTGATATTTTTGTTTACAGTGTGAGTGGGTTGTTTCCAGATAGAACATTCTCTTTTCCACTGCACTGCATTTTTGTCATCACTATTTAAATTTTTATTGATTTTTTATAGATTCTCTTCACACCTCACTTTGTTAAATGAGAGTGTTTGTACCCTTACTATTCCTTGCTCTTCTCCTACCTACCCCTTTCATTGCCCAATATCTGTCATCTAGAGCTTTACTTTAACACCATCAATGTGGAGAGTGTTTATGTTCTGCTCCTAATCATGATTAGCTTTTCCATGTTTTGTAGGAGGTTTATTTTGAGAGCTGATAGTGAATAAACAAATTTTACATTATTATGACAATTCATCACATTATTTCTTCATCATGGAGGCAGAAAGTGCTAATAATTACTTTCTCTCACCTACATTTTAAAGGAAAATATACCAGTGCCAAGGTTAAATATAGTCTCCTTTCTTACATTTTACCAATTGCTAAAAAATAATCAAGGTTCAAATCATTTCATATCTGGAACGTGACATTCTGTTAAAGGATTTTGATCTACATAGAGTTTCTGGTTATTCTTTTTTACATTGTTAAGATTCCAAGGCTTTTTCCAATGCAGCCTATATCTTGCAACTTCTCATTAACAGCATCTATTATCTGAAATAATTCCATTTTTTCCTTGAAAACATTTTTCTGTAAGCCTGCTGATCTCTGTTCTAATTTAGACCAATTTCCTCCCTTGGCCTATTGCACAACTGTCATCTTTGGATGCTATTTCATTATTCCTCCAAACCAGTTCTGTTTCTGTGTCCCTGAGAAGCAGAGAACTAACTGCAAGGTTAGATGGAACACAGCCCACACAAGATCACTCTAACTGGTGACATCAATTGCAAGTTGGAGGGGTCATGCCCAGGTTTGTTTCTCTAGAGGGACCCACAGAATGTATTGAAATCTATTATACTCACGGTCGAGATTTATTGCAGAGAAAGACTACAGACTGAAGTCAGCCAAGGAAAGCAGTACATAGAGCAGAGTCTAAGGAAGTACCCAATTCAGAGCTTCCATTGTACCCTCTCCATAGTCAGAACACTTACTCTCTCAATATTGATGTGTAACAATAACCACAGACTTTTGCCAATCAGGGAAGCTCATCAGAGCCTTGGTATTCAGAGTTTTTATTGAGCCTCCATTACTTACATATGATTGTATGCCCATATGGCTAAGGAGAATCTCCAGCCCCTCAAGGTGTGACACAAAGCCCCCAGCCTGAATCACATTGTTTTTATAAGGCTGGTCCGAATTACCCAGGCAAACAAAGACACTCCTATTAGGCATGACATTCCAGGAATTTAGAGATTACCTCCCAGAAGCTAAAGCAAAGGCCTGACCTCTTATGAGGCAAGATTAAATTCTTTATTATGTACCAGAGGCCCGGTGCATGAAATTCTTGCACAGGCAGGGGACAGGGAGCGTCCCTCAGCTCGCCTGTGCCCTCTCACAATCTAGGACACTGCATGCACCAGTGACCATACTTTTCATACAGGTGAAAGGCATCTTGTTGTTGTATGGGCAGCTACATTTTTTTGCCCTGATTATAAAAAGTAGTACATAACATGATCCTTCTGAGGCAGTAGTACTATTTTCCCCCCCTTATGGGTGGAAAAACTGAAGCAGAGAGAAGTTAA